CTTTGGATCTTAACATTTTACCGCCAGACGGCCCAGACCTAGTGTTTCGGCAATAGTATGGCGCGCAATAGTATGACGCCACTATTTCAACCATCAACGAATGTGTGGAACTAAAACAAAGCTTAATATAAAGGAAAAAGTTGAGAAGTGTTGGAATTACCCACAATGTCGGAATATACCGCGTTTACCCTAATATTGGAAGATCTTTGGTGATCCATCAGCAGCAAAATTTACACCTTCAGAAGATCTTGCAAACACATTTTGATTGAAATTATTTCCTTTTAGCTATTTGTCAGTCTTTGGCTACACTAACCGCAGAACAGGAGGTGCACCAATGGCTGGACCTTTCTACAAATTTCCAATTTAGGTTGGTTGGTTGCCGAACTCAGGATGATAAATGTTTTTGGGAATTTTCCCACTGATTATGAATTTTTCTAAGCCATTTTTGCGTAGTCAGTGCAACTTTGGGCCATCTTTGCTCGTGCGCGCAAGAGTCTATGCACGTGCGCAAGAGTCCATGCACGCACAGTACGCAGATCCATTTTGTCAAGGAACGACAGACAGAAAACTTATAATACTCAATATGCATTTAATTATCCATCAATAATCTATGATTTTCCTTGATATGGAAATTTTATGAAAGTAAAAATCTAGAATTACATTTTAGAAGAAATTTTCTACAAATTTCTTATGGAAACATTGTTTACCTTATGTAGACAGTTCACACGTGAGGCAAGTGGTGAAGAACCAAGTCCTCAGAAATTGAGCATATGAAGTAAATAAATATTAGTGTTAAATGACAGATTTTGCTTGTTCTATGTAAACTAATAGTGTGCTGATATGTTATTAAATTTTCTACGGTTGATGAAATTCCCAATGGAATGGTATGGCAACATCGTCTTTAAAGACTTTGATGTAATGCTGATACATTGTTTGTCATGTCATGTGATGTCTCTTGAAGCTATTCATATTATATTAATGTTTGTTGTTTGTCTATATAATTAACCTTCAAAGTTGCAAAAAATGAGAACTGATAAATAAAAAATATTGCCATGCCTGTATTTTTGTATTCAATGAGTTTTCACCGCACAAACCCATTTCACCAGCCGAATGGATGTCGTAAACGTAACGTATTCCCAACCTTGACATAAGGGTTTGTACTTTTTGCCAAAATCAGTCCTTCATTAGAAGGCACCAATCTCAAGCCATGTGGATTATTGCCTTCTACTATTCAGTTTTGTAATTCATTTCCAACCAAATTGTGATCTATGAATAATGAATAAATATTCATAACTGTGCTGACTCCTAGAACCTGTGTTAACACGTTATAAATCTAGTCAACTTGATGCTGATATTAATTTGGGTTTGATAGCATTGCTGCGCATTCATCTTTGAACAATGTTAGGAGCACAACGCATGGCGCATTTTTTTTACCAGCATATTATGGCGCCCGGCGCAGATTGATAAAATGTCAATAAAAATTCACGCACACCTGGCACATCTTCATGACCATGGGTTGGATGAGGCTGCTAAGCACAATCAACAATTTGATAATTTCTGCTGTGAATAAATTTTCAATTGTCTACTACAATACCTGTGGTGTCAGAAAAGCACTCATCAAAGTTGTTTGTGTGAGAATTTGGACAGAAATAATGTTTGCAATGCATCTTCTTAAGAAACCAGAAAGGCTACTGGCCAATCTCTATGCCCATTGGTCTCCTTGCAATCTACAACTCACACCTAAGATTTTTTACCATTGTCATCTCAACTCACCAAAGAGGTTCCCCTATGCTTGTCATCTCCACTCACTAATGAGGGTTCCTTACCATTGTCATCTCCACTCATGAAAGAGGTTCCCTTATGCTTGTCATCTCCCCTCATGAAAGAAGTTCCCTTATGCTTGTCATCTCCCCTCACAAAAGAGGTTCCCTTCTGCTTGTCATCTCCCCTTACAATAGACGTTACCTTATGCTCATCATCTCCCCTCATGAAAGAAGTTCCCTTCTGCTTGTCATCTCCCCTCATGAAAGAAGTTCCCTTACACTTGCCATCTCCCTTCACAAAAAAGGTTCCTTTATGCTTGTCATCTCCCCATACAATAGAGATTCCCTTATGCTTGTCATCTCTACTCCACTTGTATGTATACCACACCACACTAATGGTATGTATACCACACCACACTAATGGTATGTATACCACACCACACTAATGGTATGCATACCACACCAAACTAATGATATGTATACCACACCAAACTGATGGTATGTATACCACACCACACTAATGGTATGTATACCACACCACACTAATGGTATGTATACCACACCACACTAATGGTATGTATACCACACCACACTAATGGTATGTATACCACACCACACTAATGATATGTATACCACACCAAACTGATGGTATGTATACCACACCAAACTGATGGTATGTATACCACACCAAACTGATGGTATGTATACCACACCAAACTGATGATATGTATACCACACCAAACTGATGGTATGCATACCACACCAAACTAATGATATGTATACCACACCAAATTAATGGTATGTACCATCAAATGGGGTAATAAGGGACGGCAGAGTACTAAAGGACAGTCCTCCAACATTTTGTAGAAATGTTGCAGCTAAACTATTTAAAATATTGAAAAACAAAAAATAGTGGTTTAAAGTTCAACATTTTTACTATCTATGTAGCATAAAGCAAGTTAAAAAATCATATATTTATTACCTCTAAAAAATCCCTGAAAAAAGTGTGAAAAGTAAGATTTTGGAAAAGTACCTCTACTAAGGCCTGTAGCAAAAAAAGAATATTTGTTGTATTAAAAAGTTTTACTTACATAAAAGTTGCACACTGGTGTTGGCTTAAAAACGTGATTGACAGAATTTGCATATCTCATTAAAAAAAAATGGTGGCCATTTCTGCAAAAAAGGGTAATAAGTGACACCCTTAAAAACGCATTTACAGAAGAACCTTGGTTTGCCAATTCTCCAGTTAAACAAAAAAAAAAACAATTAACAACAAAGAATTTTGATTACATTCAACTTTCTCAGTGAAAAAAAATTTACTGTACAAAAATAATGCATCATCAGTCATTATAAAATTGTTCATAGAATGTCATAGATAGAATTGAGCATTGGGCAGCAAAGAATGCAAAGTAAGTAACCTAAACTCGGATTTATTTCTCAAGAAAATATGATGGTTGTCACTAAAATATTCCTTCCTGTTTCAGGTATGTTTTTTTTATGATCTTTTTGTTATAGTGAAATCGCTCGACTCGATTAAAATTGTGCAAAATTACAAGCAATCCTGTAAGCTTACAGATACAGAAGAAATGCTACATGGCTGCTGATATGAAGCTTGCAGTGGACAAGGCCATTGTCAATGCTCAATGGCATGTCCATGGATATGGTAATATCACATCAGTAATACTATAATGTATGAATAAGGTAATATCACATAAAAAAACAAAGTAAAAATCACAGAAAATGTCATTTATTCTACATTTACATCATCTACAAAGGAAGAGAAGGACTTCAGAGTATTGTTAGTAATGGATGAGTACACTCAGCATGCTTGAAATATTTTAAAATCTAGTTTAACTTCTAGTGTCCCTTATTACCCCATTCCCAGAAAAATTCGGGAAGCTTTTATATTGCGTCCAGCACCTTACAAATAGCATATAGACTTTTTTTGGAGATGCCATGCGATAGCCTCTGCAAAGACCTTTAAAATGAGCCCAAACTTGTTTATGAAATGTTTCATTGTAAGAAGTTATTAACAAAAAAGCTCAAAACCACCCCTTTTTACCCCCTTTGACTGTACTTACAAAAAATCTCTGTGAAGTATATTCCTTTAACAATGATGTGACAAAAATTTCCAAAAAGCGTCTAAGAATTTATACAAAGTGCAAAAAAGGGAAAATTATTTTAATATCAAGAAAATATCTGGTGGTCATTTACTTGAATTCATTGCCTAAAAATAGGTCTGGAATGACTATAGAAGAAGTTGGAGGGCCTAGTATTGTATAGATTGTGTTTTAGGGTTTTTATTTCTACCTCAAATTTGTGTGGGTTGTTTATAATGTCTGTGACTATTTCAGGTGTGTTTGTGCAAGATATTCTTCTGTTATTGACTCAAGTTCCTCCTGTTGAATGTTTGCAGATATTTTTGCATTAATTGAAGGACAGATTTTTCCCACATATATTGATTCAATTTGCCAAAGCTTGGTGATTTATTTACAATAATGGCAATATCTGATAAAGAAGCTTTCAGAATATTAGAACTTCCTTTAGGTGAGTACTTAGGATTTGTTTCTTATTTGTAAAATCTTTGAGATTTATTTTCTTATTTATTAATTTTAAACTTAATTTATTCTGCTAAACTTCCCAATCTATGGCCAAATATATAATAAATTCACTAAAATATACACGTATTTATTTTGTGCATTCAATGAATTTTATATAAATTTTGGTGTTTACTGACCATATTCCATAATACCAGATGATTGTAATTGAACCCAATTCTTTAAAATATATAGAAAAAATGTCACCATGTGTTATATTATTATATGTAGTTGCCTTGTTGGTGTGCAGTTCGTTTGAGTTAATGGCAATGATTTGATTAGTAGGAAATGGAGAAAATTCTACAACTGACTTGACTAGTATTTGAATGACATGATTTGAATTATATAATTTAATGTAGAGAGCTTTTCTATGTCAAATGTTGTTGCTTGATTACATATTATAATTTTAGTGTAGTACCATACTCTCTTTAAATAGTAATGGATGAGTACACTCAGCATGCTTGAAATATTTTAAAATCTAGTTTAACTTCTAGTGTCCCTTATTACCCCATTCCCAGAAAAATTCGGGAAGCTTTTATATTGCGTCAGCACCTTACAAATAGCATATAGACTTTTTTTGGAGATGCCATGCGATAGCCTCTGCAAAGACCTTTAAAATGAGCCCAAACTTGTTTATGAAATGTTTCATTGTAAGAAGTTATTAACAAAAAAGCTCAAAACCACCCCTTTTTACCCCCTTTGACTGTACTTACAAAAAATCTCTGTGAAGTATATTCCTTTAACAATGATGTGACAAAAATTTCCAAAAAGCGTCTAAGAATTTATACAAAGTGCAAAAAAGGCAAATGACTTTGATATGAAGAAAATATCTGGTGGTCATTTACTTGAATTCATTGCCTAAAAATAGGTCTGGAATGACTATAGAAGAAGTTGGAGGGCCTAGTATTGTATAGATTGTGTTTTAGGGTTTTTATTTCTACCTCAAATTAGCGTGGGTTGTTTATAAAGTCTGTGACTATTGCAGGTGTGTTTGTGCAAGATATTCTTCTGTTATTGACTCAAGTTCCTCCTGTTGAATGTTTGCAGATATTTTTGCATTAATTGAAGGACAGATTTTTCCCACATATATTGATTCAATTTGCCAAAGCTTGGTGATTTATTTACAATAATGGCAATATCTGATAAAGAAGCTTTCAGAATATTAGAACTTCCTTTAGGTGAGTACTTAGGATTTGTTTCTTATTTGTAAAATCTTTGAGATTTATTTTCTTATTTATTAATTTTAAACTTAATTTATTCTGCTAAACTTCCCAATCTATGGCCAAATATATAATAAATTCACTAAAATATACACGTATTTATTTTGTGCATTCAATGAATTTTATATAAATTTTGGTGTTTACTGACCATATTCCATAATACCAGATGATTGTAATTGAACCCAATTCTTTAAAATATATAGAAAAAATGTCACCATGTGTTATATTATTATATGTAGTTGCCTTGTTGGTGTGCAGTTCGTTTGAGTTAATGGCAATGATTTGATTAGTAGGAAATGGAGAAAATTCTACAACTGACTTGACTAGTATTTGAATGACATGATTTGAATTATATAATTTAATGTAGAGAGCTTTTCTATGTCAAATGTTGTTGCTTGATTACATATTATAATTTTAGTGTAGTACCATACTCTCTTTAATGACAGTTTTTTATGTTCCAACAGTGAACTGCGTCTCATTGATCCAATCATTCTTTATGTGAACATTGTAAGAAATTATTTTTATGTCATTCTCCATCACCACAAATGATTTATTCTTTCATATGACATTGCTATTTTACATGTTCTGCCTTGTGCAATATCCACACAATACACTCTCTGATACTCTCAATGAAATAAACCTATGCTGCTATCATTACTACTTCATCATAACTCATTATATTTTTACTCATATTTTTTTGTTGCCACTATTGATGACCAATATAAATTTTAAATTATGACATGATTTATTGAGATTCTTGGAGCAAGATTTGCTATAATTTTTCCAGTTTTTAGTTGTTAATGTATTTTTCCAGGTGTTGACAAGGATGCCATAACACAACGCTATCGCAGTTTAAGCAGCAAATTGTCTTCTAGTCGTGCAAGTGAAGATGTTAAAGTAAGTAACAACTCTTATAATAAATATTTATAAGACCACAGCAGTTGACAGTGCCAACAAAGTGCTTTGTCTCCATTAATGTTATAATAAGCTAGAAGTACAGTAAGAAAAGGGAGGTCAACTCTGGCAAGCTACATGATAATTGAGGGATAATTACTGAGACAGGCTAATCATTTATAACTGTCTAACACTTGTAACTATTGAATGTTGAGAATAATCTTGGCTATATGAAAAAAAAAATTTTTTTCTTGAGATGTTCTGTTACTTTCCATTCAAACAAAAAATGATTTTAAACCTGAAAAATTAACAAATTGTCCTCATGAAATTACTTGGGCATAAAATGAAATACGGTATTGTCAGAAATTATGGCAATCTTATTTTTCTTATCACAATTCATCAAATTGATGGATTTGTTTTGTGTGAAATTTCAACATATTTTGTGAAGTCTTTTACTTTTTAAGTATGATTTTATGCTTTTATATGAAAAATTTAAATGTTTTGATGAAAATTTATGCTTTAGAACAGTGCCTGCTTTGAGCAGCCACAAAGCTCAATTGTGTTGTTATTCCTACAGAAATTAGAACGTGTTGTTCAAGCTTATAATCAATTGCTGCCTCCTCATAAGCGGGACCAGCCTAACAATGGTGAGTACACAGTTAATTTTTGTCTATTTCTAAATTCAAAATTTTTTAATTAGGAAAAAAAATTTATGTACCCCAAAGAATTTTTGGATTGCCAAAATTATTTGGTTGTTGTTGAATATTTACTTAACCAAGGAATTAATGAAAAATATGATGCATTTTGTATAAGATTGTTTTAGGGTGTGAAGCATGGCAGGTTTAGTGATGTGTACATTGCTATGCACCAAGCACTAAATTGTTAGGTGCTTACTGTGAAGGAAGTCACTTTGTTTAGTATCTTGTGGTGGACCTCACCACATCATGGCATGTTTAGTGATAAATTTTTAATGGTATCTACTCACTGAGCCTTGAGAAGTTAGGTGTATACTGTGACTCTGATGTGTTATATTCTTGAGTTTGTAGCAGTGGTTTGCACCACAGAGTTTATGATGATGCCACTAATCTCTCCACTCTTCTTGCACTTCAATGTGAAGCTGAGAAAAAGAAGGAGAAGAAAAGACGCAGGAAGGAAAAGAAGAAATCGAATGATAAAAATGAAAATAAATTCATCAATAATAACGGGAAAATGTAAGTAATAATTTGTAGGTTATTATTTTTTGTTTTGAATTTCCTCTTCTATTGTAATTCTCTATTTCAGTAAAAACTTGAGTAGCCATCTTGGGTGATGCAGGAACTTTCCACTTAAAACAATATTTTGAAGAAAAAGCCTTTTGTAAAACAATATTTTGAAGAAAAAGCCTTTTGTATTGTAAGTACATTTTTTGTCTGTGTTTGCAGACACTAATAGAATATTATACAAGTATAATATTCTATTCATGATATCTTGATAAAAAGCCATTATTAGCTAATGTAGATGCCTTACCATATTCTAAGCTGTTTAAAATAGGGACAATTTAAATATGAATGGATATATACAATTTTCAATGCTGATGCATTTAAATTACACCTTTTGTTCATTATGCTACAGTGTTAGAGAATAATTTGTTTATTATAATTTGCTACATTATTGTATATGCAAGTTGGTTATGTATGCAAGCCTACCATTACTGATATCTACCTACTCCTGCTAGTGAGAGCAAAGCCCACGTATGTTTGATGCTGGCAGAGGTTGTGACAGACTTCAGTGTGACTGTAAATGTGTGAATTATTGTATTTACAGCAAGAGTGAGAAGAGAGAGGATCACTGTTTTATGATGAACTGTAGAAAAAACTGTGAAGTACCTAAAAATGTAATGTGAGTTATACATAAGACAAGTAATGTCTGAGGTGATTTTAGTGATAAGGGTAATGGTGCCTTTTATGAGTGAACAGGGTAGGAGGGGATTGCAGTGATTGTACTCGTAAATTCAGCAGAAGAAGGGACTGTGGCTGAGATTTAATGCTCATAAACATATTTGATTCAAAGAGCTTGTGAAGGCTGAATGAGAGGAGGATGGCAAGAATTGTCTTGTTGATTGCTAAAGGAAAAAATGGGGAAGACAATATATTAAAAATATCAATAGATTAATCTATTTCAGGATACAATGTCCATTTTTTTTATTTTGAGTCTTTTTTTCATTGTCCAACACTTACGGTGTTAAGGATAGGAAGGTTATCTCATTAATATGCCTGCAGAAATAGGTACTTATCTCCTTTACCTAAATCTAAGAAAAACATTTTCTATGTTGAATGATGAACATTTTTTGCCCAATGTGTATCAGAATATCTTTGTATATTTTTTTCATTTTCAAAAACATCCATAAATCAGAGGTGGCGACGACTCAGAATGTTCATCTGAGGGGGATGAAGAGCAGCTGGAGTTGACGGAATCTTTATCGGCACGTGGAGTGAAGGCTCCTCTTAACTCCAATGGAGCAACTGTTAAGAGCCTGAGCAACAGAAAAACTGTGGTAGATGATAACCATCCTTATAGTGAGTCCTGACACAGGCATGATGTGTTGCATATCGAATTATTCTGATAAAAAGTAGCATCCTACTTATGAAAATTGCTTCTTATTTCACACTGATTCATTGGTGACATTAAATTTGAATTTACCTTATTTATCTGCTGTGTAAATTTATTCATGAAAGTGTATGAAATGAAATTTATGTCATATATGACATATTTGCCTGATTGTTGACATAGCTGAAAGCTTCTCTGCCACAGTTGACCCTGAGGTGCTCCGCAACCGCCAAGTCCAGGCACGTGGCATGGCCGTGCAGGGCAATGAAGCCGCCGCCCAGGGCCTCCACCAGCGCGCAGTTAAACTCTTTACTCAGGCTGCTGCTTACGACCCTAATGACCATCGCTTCCTTGGCAATCGCTCCTTTTGCTATGAACAACTTAAACAATTTGATAAGTAAGTGCTGCTTTTACTCAACAGCATAATGAGTTTAAACAACTTGAACACTTTGAAACTAAAGTAGTGTTTTTGTTAAACTGAATTCCTGAATTCCGATTTCAATGGCTGCAATAATGTGGGTGGCGAGGTGTTACTCAATGGCATCATGAACTGCTTTATTGGTGGAATGGATAGGCACCTTGTTTTGTTAAATATCTGAAGCAGCTTGAGTAGTTGAATAAGTGTGGTAGTTGCCTGAACGCTGAAAATTTTCATTGAAGGTTAGGTGATGTTTGTGGTCTCTGATGCCCCCAAGAGCCAAGGGCTTTTATGTAGCCTCACAATCATGGCTTAATTGCAGGGCTGGCCTCATGTATCTTCTATTTGGCTCCTTTTAAACATAAAATTATTGCACTATCATATTCACGACCAAGTATTCTTTTCAGCTCAAAACCAGAATGATAAAAATGAACGCAGTTGACAGATCATTTTCGTTCTTAATTAACTGTTGTATTGGCTTCAAAACCTGCACCAATGCCGTGTTAATGTAGTTGGTTCCGCTCAGCTGTAGTGCAACTCTTTTGATTTATGCTTAATCTGAAAATTTTAGTTGCCTTCTACAAAATATGGATGACTTAAGGTTATAAGGTTAAAATTATTCACTTAATTTGGTTTCAGTTCCATTGTCCACTCCAAGTAGACTAATCTTTTAATTATTCAAGTATTTACTTGGGATGGGAATTTTTTCACTTCGAATTATCCTTACGGTACTTTAAATGATTATTGCTCTATCAAAATTGTAAGCATTGTTCTAATGTATTGTACATGTATAGAGTTTAATTTAGGTACAGTTGGATGCACTCGTTCAACGTTATTTTCTCTTACATTTGTCACTTGTCACTGAAGGTTAATTTCTGGGCAGGGCGCTATCTGACGCGGATAAAGCCATTCAATTGTCCCCTGGTTGGCCTAAAGGATATTTTAGAAGAGGGCGCGCCTTGCGAGGACTCGGAGTAAGTTCCACTCATAACCTCCATCTTTCCTTCTGTAATTTTCATTGTGCGCATCTTTTAGATTTTTTACCCTGTGTCAGAAAATAACTTAATTGTTAATTAGACTGTATTTTCTGATTTTAGTGCTTCTTTGAGATATTTTAGAGTATCTTTTTTAGTATTTCGGATATTGATGTTGATAAAAAGTAATAGATTTTTGTGTCCCAGATTATACACATTTCTCTTATTGCTAGTCAAAGTCTCTTGAGTTTAGATCTGAAGGCTATAAGATTATTTGGTTGTTAACAAATGTGCCTTTTGCTTGATTTTCAGTTTACTTTCTGAACTTGTTGAAGACTGAAGTACGATCGGAGAAGTTTTGTGCTGCAAACCTTGTAAGATTTCTATTTATCTCTTGTCATATCCTAATTTATGGAATGTTTCAGCAATTGACGGAGGCTGAAGAGGCGTTTTCTCGAGTGCTGCAGCTGGACCCTGCGTGTCAAGAAGCGCAGGAGGAGATCAGCCATGTGCAGCGTGACCGCCTCACTGAGATGGGCTTTACTGTTGAGCAGTCAACTCGAGCTATTGAAAAGTATCGTCAAGTGCAGGTAAGCTTCCTGAACTGGAGGCACCTTACTGGCAAGTGATTCATGGAAGCACCTTTCTGCACCAGGCTCGCCAGCAATTATTGAGTGAATGCATTACTGAATGATCTGGAGTGAGTTCATTACTGGATGAATTAAAGTGAATTCATCACTGAATGAAATGAAACCAGCTCATAACTGAAAGATTTTGGAAGAATACATTTTCTGGTGCGTTTTGCCATCACCTGTGAATTTGATTCACTGACTCAGCTGAGTTTACTGAACGAAATAATAATGAATGATGACGGTTTTTCTCCAGAAATCGAATGAGAATAAATTACAAGGCTCCTTAGTTGAAATCAATGCCTAGATAAGGAATCATTAGATCAATGCCTAGAGACTAACGTGGTAGCCTGGAGTGCAGAGCAGCATTTGATGTAGCCTTGCACAAGCGTATCATCGTCAACCTAAACATAGTCAACATGTTTTATTTTTTAGTAAGTAGTTTACTAAATTTTTGGATAGTTCTCTGACAGCAAACTTGGAATTACCATAGATTCATTATTGATGATTTGTGAAAAACGTCTCTCGTTCTTAATACATCTTAATTTTATATTTAAGTTAGTCATTTTTATGCACCTTCAGCGCGTTATATGAATTGTTAAAATTGGAAGCATAGCCAACCGAGAAGGGTCTAAGAAGTGCGTTTAGACGAAGGTGGCTTCATAGGAAGTTATCACGGCAAATGGAATAAAAAAAGGTCAAATGAAGAACTATTACTTTTAAAATTGAACCGGTAAAATAAAACAACATCCTACCACGAAAAAATCACTGTTACTAAAGACAAGCATGCGTGAAACGATTAACAAATTCACATTAATCATTCAGGAAGTCACTACTAATTCTTACGTAATGAGCTGAATCCATCGCTTCACAATTGCATGTTTATAAAACAAATTAAAAATTTAATACTTTACCAGACAACTTTGAACCTTAGAGCGATCCCGTCAAGTGGTACTGTTGCTATGCCGCAACCGTATCGATCACAAACGTCCTCTGTTATAATGACGATCGTATTATTCCAAATAGACGTATCGCGCTAGTACGTTGTTGTTTGCTGTAATGTTGTAATTGCGCATCCTGGTAGAAGCGGCCAGGTAAGCGTGTGGTGATACGTCCGTTTTTAAGGCACCAAGGCTCCAGGTAGTTCTACTATAATCACTGGCTTACTGACCATTTTTATTTGCCTCCACCATTTTTATTTGCATTACACAACACCACGGACGAGCCAAGTACTTATTGGCTTCCCGAAGGACGCCGCCGCTCATACATTGAAGTATCTGCCTCCATAGATGCGTAGTCTTGCCTTTTCGTTGTCTCATGGTCGGTCTGATTGTGGAGTCGTTGACTGTCGTACTTCGCAATGGCTGTGATGGCTTCTGCTTCAGTGACGTTGCTCACAGCTCTTCATGTTGCTGTTGNCACAGCTCTTCATGTTGCTGTTGCTATGTCGACGGTGACCATACTTTCAGAATTTAATCTTGGCCTTTTAATCGCTGCACGTCTGCTTGCTTATCGTGCCCGTCTCCCCACTGAGTCACGGCCGGCGCGTTGTTTTGATGTTAGCTGAGCAAATTTATGTAGCAAATTCACCGTTGTCACTTGTTTACTATAGACGCTCTTATGCCCGTATCGTAGTGGCATTGATGAATCTCATTTCATCGCGGCCGTTAATGTTCGGAGATGTTTGAATCCGTTGGCGCATGGCCGTAACCGTCACGACGTCCGCAGAGCTGCAGACGGTGACGTGTGTGGGTAGCTCCCAAGAACCAAGAACCTCGTGCATGAAATGTCGCTCCTTTTATACCTAGCCGTCGCGCATCCTTAATCCTTTCCTTCGAAGTAAATGCCAAATATGCGATGTTGATAAGAAGATAGGATATTCCTCAATTCACAGATTTTTGATGGAAACAAACTCGGTTTAACGGTTCGGAAACAATCCCGTATTTCCGTCTTACACACACTACGCGCTTGAACGCACTTTTCTCAACGTTTCAACATCTGCACCCTAACTTTCAATGGAATTTGCAACTTAAGTGACTTCTTGATTTGCCATCAAACTACGTTGTATATAGATAAAAATTACTTTGAACTGCAATAAAAATATGAAAATCGCAAAAATTATCCTTGTATTTCATATATTTTCTGTCTGTTTTGTTTCATATATTTTCTGTCCCTCAGCCGGCCCTGGACGCGCTTCTGGCGGGTGAATTTCAGGAGGCCACTGCATGCATATTTTATTCCGACGGCGAGGACGAAGAAGATGCCAAGGAAACCAGCGACGCGTGGAAGGTTTCCGACAGCCAGCTTGTTACTGCTAAGAAGACTTACGTCAAAAACGATGTTAAGATGAAGTGAGTTATTTTACTTACCGTATCATGACCAACGCTTGCTGAATAATGAGATGCAGTGAGGAGCTACTTCATTTCTCATACAATAGTTTTTGTTTGTGCTTGTGGTTTGTAGCTCAGTTTTTCAAATTGAAAGTTTTTATTGTTTGTTTGAAATTGCTTTAAATCAAATTGGAATTTCAAAGAAAACTAGTTCTGTTGAAGCAAAGAACTCAACGTAGCAATATTGTGATTGACCCAAGCTCCATTCTCCCACCATATTGCTTGCTTACCGTGCGACTACAGCCAAGCGTTTGAGGCGTTCAGAAAGATTTTCACTTAAGACAGGCAGGCAGTTATGCTTTACATTTCTATTGGCTGCACTGACTGCGAAATAAAATTCAATTTTAAGTTCAAAAGAACTAGATTTGCTTGTGGAAAAAATGCCGATATCTCTCTCATTTGGTACACTGGTGCTCCGTGTCTGAGTCCCTCGTCAAATGTTTCCATGTAATATGCCCAGGTATTTGATGTCTTGATTTCATGTTCATTTATTTCCAGTCCCCGTAATCCTCAAGGGTTGACGTCGTTATGGGTCGGCAATGTTCTTCCTGAAGTTACCGAGAAGGAACTCCAAAAACTTTTTTCGAGGTAAAAACTGTTGATGCATGTTTTTGTTTAAGAATTAATTAACCAGTTCAGATCGTTCAATAGTAGTAACATTTTTCTGTTTGTACGACTGTCTTAATAATTGGAGGTAATGCTCGTAGGTTTATTTCATTTTATTTGAATTTTCATCGCACGTCTGGCAGGCACGGCCATGTGAGCAGCGTGCGACAACTCAAGGAGAAATTCTGCGCATTCGTGAACTTCAGCGAGAGCAGCAGCGCAGGTCGGGCCATGAACGCACTGCAAGGCCACACCGTCAACGGCCAGCGCCTTCTCATTAAATTTCCGGACAATCCTATCACTTCGAGTGTAGCGGGTCCACAGGGCGGCGCCAGAAGACGGAACGCAATGGGGCCTAACAGGCAGGCTGGCTTATAGGCTTCTTCTATTTTCATTGCGGCTTTCAATGCTTGTCAAGTCTTGATCATGTCCACACAAACACGACAAACATTTATTACATTGTAAGCACATTATTAGTCTCGAAAAACGTAAATTAATCTTTTCATTGTGAGTTAAAAAATCTTTATATTGAAATGAATGACACTTTCTGATTTATATTTGTATTAAATATGGATTTTTTTAGAGCGCTTCCTGGGTAGACGTTTGTTATGCGTCATTCAATAGCGACTTGTTGTTGGGCCCCCGTCGTCTCTATGACGCTTTCAGTGAACTTCATTTCCGTATAGCAGTAATGTTTTGGTTTGCCTTCTTACCACACTCTTTTCACGGGCTATATTATATTCACTATATTCGAATTATCTCCCTCTCAACTTGGAAAATGGCGAAAAATTAGTTCTGTTCGGTAGTCTCGAGTGGCTTAGTTCTTTCAACAAGACAGTAATTATTAATCAACTGTAATGTACTCGTACTCTGATGCAGAAGCTCTCACCATCATAATGTACTCGACTTCAGTTCAAGTTACCATGTGTGAGCTTTTGATCTTCCTTCGTTTGGCCGGTTGTTAGAAATGTAATTTACATCCAAATGTATCTGTGAGGGATGATGGGCACCTTGTAGAATTCAGAACTTGCTTTCGTTATTAATGTTTATTCTAAATTTGCTTAACATTTTAGCATTTGAAGTGGAAAAAAATTGATTTTGTCGTCATGTGTATGTTGATTAACCAAGCGTCTGTGCTAGTAAGGTGTAGACTTTATCCATATTTTCTACACGGCATCAATACTCCATATAAATTCAGATCTCCGGTAAGGGTCATTGGCTTCTCTTGAAGCTTTCTCGCCTAGGATGTTATGAATTTATTTAACTCTTAACTGCTGTCGACAGTTATTTTCTGTTGTTCATTCACGAATTAACTTCTCACAAGAACCATGAAAGGCGTCCAAGTCGTTAGATGGGAGCCGCCTGCTTTCAGTTTAGCTCGGCCCGTGTACATGACACACAGTGCTTCGTGACATTTGATATTTGGCTTGTTTCGTGTAGTTGGGTTTGATTTTACGTCTCTTGCACAATTATCTTGCATTTTCGTATTCTCAAAGATTCACTTTTATCGAGGAATTAATGTTTTTACCTCCCGATTTATGCTCTGAAATGCTAAGTTATTGAAGTATGGAGCACTGCAAGCTAAGCAGTTTATGTGCATGTCAATATATGCATTGGTTTTGCGCCTGAATGATCCCATCATTGGTCGACTCGTGGATCTTCTTGCATCGGCCTAAATGAAGTGTTCCATATTTCTATGAAATACACATGCTAATCGACATTTGTTTAGACTTTCCGGCTTTTCACTGCCTATAATTTAAGAAATCCGATGTTCTTGCGGTTTCATCCGATCTCAATTAGAAACAGGTATGATCTTTATTTATGAAAAAGATTACTTGAAAGAGTATGGCAGAAGCGACAGTCAGGCTAGGTTTGACGTTACAAGTGTCATCATTTGTTGTACTTGAGATTCTTCAGAGAAATATTTATTAAATTGAGTAATAGGTTCTTAACAAATTTATTACTTCTTCGTATTCTGTAAGTATCTACAGATGAAGGGACATCCTCGTTACACGCGTCAACCTAACCGGTGATGTTATGCACACGAGCCGTGGTTGCGTGTTGTACATTAGGGTCATTCCGACCGGAATTAGTTGTTTACTTCTTTGTGATACGTGAATCAAGCCTTGCACGTTCTGTGCCTTTTGGGTTTATACAGAGATTGATTTAGTTTTATCAAAACTTTCTTTTTCTTTTTGCATGAGAATCTGGTGATATTTAGACGACTAGTAAACATACTATTTTCTTTGCTTCATTCATTTGATAATTCAGAAAAGAAAATACACTTTTTCAATTACTAACATTCATTTTCATCTTAACGTCCTGAAGCTTTGGCTTCATTATGTTACCATTGCTAAGTTCTAACTTTTCCATTAATTTTAATCAGATTTCCGAGATTGCATGATACATCTGGTGTATTTTTGCGATTCATGTTCCCCATTGCATGGTAGAACTTTCCTATTCTTTTGCTCTCAATGGCCAATTAGTCATAAAACAATTCCATGCAAGTTGCTGTTCTTCCTTAACTGAGCTTCAGTGTCACTTTTAGGCTCGCAGTTGTCGAATAACAAAGATTTGCTACTTATTTACTTTGCTAAAACATTTTTTCTTTTTGTGCATACAATCCACGTATGTAGAGTTTGCCTAGATATGAAGAATTTATTTTGTGTTAATCTACCTCGACTAACGCACTGTACTTCTTGCTATCGATTTTCCACCTGAATTGTAATTTTATTCAATTTAGCGCGACTATCCCTAGGGCTGAGCGTGCACCTTCTTTCCTCCTCTTGTTTCTGGTGCTTGTCTCGTAAGCTTTGTCATGTCACGACCGATTCTCCCGCCCCTCGTGCAGCACCAACGGCTCGTCGTTCCAGGACACCGACTCCCGCAAGCAGCGCGGCCCCACCCACAACGGCGAGTGCTACTATTGGCGCACCACAGGATGCGTCTACGAGAACTCCTGCAGGAATGCGCACGTGGTCGCTCATAGAGGCATCGATCGCAAGCCCTGGCAGAAATGAATCACTTCTAAACGTCTACAGGAGCGCTTTGCTTGTGTCGGCCACGACAATGACGGAATTGTTAGTGTGGTAGGCTAATTGGTTAATTCGTTAGGTTTGAGACTCCTTCGTTTGTTCGCGCATTAAGAACTTGTTCGTTGTTTGGAGAAATTCCATTGACTCGTGTGGTACACATGAAGTTGCTTATTACCCGGTTATTTAATCAGAAAATATAATTTATGCGTAACTTGCTAACCATGATATCTTGAATAAATGAAAATTCGTCTTGGATTATTCTCAGAGTTTCGGTATGGTGAACGAATTTGCCATGCATTTTGTGCAAGATGGAATTCTGGTCGTGATTTGCAATTTTATATTCCACCGTTAAAGAATCACGCGGAAAAAATGCTCTTAGAGTTAGGCGAAGTTCGAACAAGTATGCATGTATTATTTATCGTTTCATCGGTGTATAATGGGCATACTGAACCTGGTGATATTATTTTAATTAAGAATAAGACAGGCAGACGTAATCAGCACAATCAATTTGCGCGTCATTGGCAAACTATTCGGTCATTTTTCATGACGATACAGTTTGTATCTGTCGAGCAACTTCGTGCTATCAGTATTTAGACAAAAATGTGCCCCGCTACACGAGTTCAGTTTCGCAACAGTATTCTATGAACATCATTTTTCCCCTTCTTTCACAAAGGTGTACGCAAATATTTATCAAAAATCAGAAAGGAACGCAACAGTTTTCTATGAACATAATTTTTTCGTTCTTTCACAAAGATGTATGCAAATATTTATCAAAAACCAGAAAGGAACATTGTGAACGAAGTATCCGGTGTAATTATTTATTTAAGAAAAACGTTTAAATTACTAGTCGGATCACTGAAAAGTCCTTGAACAGGCTTGAAGTTTGTGGCGACTTTGGTTATCTTCTCGATGGCATCAGCATCCATAGTGTCCAACTGTTGAGAAATAGTTATAGATACAGAATTTTACCTGGATAAAATATTATTTATTCTATCCAGTTATAATGTAATGTATTACAAAAATTGATAATTTTATTAATACCGACCACAGGGAAAACATAAACGGGCAGAAATTTTTTTTAATAACACAGGTATCCCTAACTCGGCAAAAAAAGAACTGACAATGAAACCAACTTTGTACAAGACCCACCGCTCGTAAAGCTAACCTTGCCGTCGTGCGTTATCGTCTCACCTCGTCATATTCGACCTCAAGATAACTGTTGAGGGGAGCTTCCTCCAGGTCACCGGGTCGCTTGACAAAGCTCGCCGCTTTGTACAACTTTTCAGGAGCTTTGTGGCTAACGGTAGCCACTTCCCACAGGCTGCTCATGTTGGCTTTGGTTTGCATAAGGTCGGCTTGGAAGACATCATAAGGATCACAAGCTACGGGCGTCTCCTGCTCATCGTCGTACATTATCTTGAGGCTGGGGAAGCGCGCCAGCACATTAATGATGCACCTCACGACCAGCACTGAGCAGTTGGCAGGGGCGAAGAGCAGGAGTCGTGACAGGCGCTTGACGAAAGCAGCGACCATGTACTCCGGCAGATGTGATGACGACAGGAACACGTTAAGTAGCATGAAGAAGCGGGGCTTGTATCGAGCGTTGAATACGCTAGGCTCCAACAGACTGCATACTTTGTTGTAGAAGTCCGGATAATGCCTGTAGTGCGCCATCAAGAAAATGTTAATACCTAGTTTCTAAAACACTTGTGCAATATTCGAATATTCAACATTCTATACATTAGAAGTACTAAATATTACACTATTTAGCCATTTTTTCAATGATACAGCCTCGATCAGTATTCGAGGAACCTGTCACTAAGCTCCTAGCAAAATCGATTTTTCAATAATTGATTTAAACCCCAAGGCCACATCCTATAGGTTCGAAAATATTCCTTATGTTCAGCATGACAATTTTTTACATGAATTACGATAGAACGTCCAATTATAATGAACCTTCAATTTGACAAATATGAAAAAGATAACCCGTAGCACATAGTGATTATGGACTTACTTTTATTATAGTACAAGAAGCCCCCACGTGCATTGCAACAATGTTCTACATTTAATGGCATCTCGATGGATGGTTATTAAAGAAGATTTGTTTGAAATTAAAATGTAAATACGGGCAATTAAAAAAAAGCGGACGCTAAAAAAAACTCAAAATATTCGGCTCGTAAGACATCTGGTAACATGAGCGAGTCACTCGTAAGACATGAGCGAGTCACTCGGTTGCGACGCCCAAGCGCTGTCCCAAACAGCACAAGAGGTGTCAGCAACAGCAAGCATGCAGACGATCACTTGTGACATGAATAGAAAATTACTCTTGCTAAAAGAACCCCATCTGTGGTAGGCATGCAAGTCTTGATAGGTACTTACAGATTATGTTTGTTCATTAGCAAGAAGACTCCATGCATCGCCATCAGACTTACACCACCTCCTGGAACGATTGAAGATTAGAATTAATATCATGAAAAGTCGTCATCTTTGACAACTGAAGCATGGCAACAAGAGTTACCGTCTATCATAACCATATTTAAAAAGAACGAGGTATGTAAGCTCTCAACAATGGACTGATAAGCTCTCATCAATGGAAATAAAGATCAAAATTTCTAGTTATCGTAGATGAATCACGTCCGGATAGGCGACAAATACATGGTATTTAGACTAGTCTCACTGGAGAATATGATTATATTAGTAATGGAAACTTAAGCCATAATATAAATGCTACTTATGAATTGACAAGCACAATCTGTTTTAGCTACGCCGACGCACCCAAGTTGTAGCTCGTCATGAAGAAGTCCGTCAGTTTGATGGGGTCCAACAAATACTTCATGACCTTCTCAGGTATGAAGACGAGGCAGCGTTTGTAGAGCTCCTCGTTAAGCGTGTAGCTCATGACGGTCTCCCAGATCTTGGTGAGGTATTGGCGGCCTCGGTCGTGGTTGTAGATGAACACGGGACCTCCTTCCGAGTCATCTTCGTCGTCATCCTCACCACTGTCTTCGTCAGACATGGCGTCTAGAATATCCTTCAAGGTACTCTGCTCGTTCAGATCAAAAGGCAATAATTTTTCACTGCGATTGATCTTTACTTTCTTGCGATCGCCGATGGGTTCGTAGTTCGGGTCTTCAAAGTCTGCAGGAGGATGGTTAACAATATCTTCGATTCCCCATCGTGGTTTTCTTGGCTTCTTAACCTTCTGTGCAGATTTGAACTCTTCGTCATCCCTCTTCCTCTGACGCTCGTCCTCGTCCAGTGCCAGTTCATGTCCAGCATCGTAACCTACTTCCGGTGCTTCTTCGTCTAAATTCTCCACGTCATCTGGAAGTTCAGCACTGGTTTCTTTTTCTTCATCGCCGTAAATTGTTTGCTTTATTACTTCCTCATATTTGCTCTTTTGCTGCTTTTTATGGAGCTTCGCTGCAGCTTTTTCCTTTTCCTTCTTTTTGTTCTTTCGAATGGAAGATTTTGTCTCCTTGCTTACCTTTTGCACCCTCTTCTTTGGTTCTGCCATCTCTGCAAATTCAACGGAAAAACTGAAATCGTTCAAGTCGCGTTTCACAATTTATTTCAATACCTTTAACTTAGTGTGAGAATCATCTATTTTTATCATATTTTGCGTGGACGGCTCGATAACTAATTATCAGTGTGATAGAATTACATGAATAACTATCATCATATATTCAACGCATATTAAACTCAATATCTGCAACGCTAAATTATAAATGAAATCAGTAATCTCAGAATGTAATATTTATTAAAAGTGGCAAATAGACGTGAAGCACGAGAGTGTAACAAATAGAACCTAGGCTTGCACGACACTGACCAGGACGACGAGAGCAAAACAACGGCGGGGGTTCCAGAGTTCTGCTCCTGCCGGGGAGGTCGAGCTGCAGCAGCAGCGTCACCAGGTTAGCTTTGTACACCATCGAGCAATCCTCGGTCTCGTCAGTCACCATTGAGCTCACGACCTGCACAAAATAACAGGAGCTAACAAAAAATTTCATTTTAGCAGCATGCATGAAATCTGTATAACCCTGTTAATTTAACAGGCACATTCTATATGATCATACCTAAAACGTAGAGAGAACAGGCGGAAGCAAGGAATTCAGATAGTGTCAACAGCATTCCTAGAAGAAGATTAAGTGAAGAGTTGATTTACAGAAAATCATCCAATCACTACAATTCAGCATTGATTGAAAGAAAATAATGCCAAGAACGGAAATAAGTTGTCATATTCACCCGTGAAAAACGCGATAAATTACGCAAAAAAATAAACTCCCAAATCGTAAGATGACTTATACTGTCAATAAATGTTATAGATTGAAGGATTCGTTTCTTATTTGTTGATTACAAAGCAATTTTCCTGAGCCCCATCACTTACCTTGAATGTATAGAAGGCAAGATCTTCATGCTGGAGCACATCCTGCAGAACTTTGATGAGATTGCGGCAGTTTACTGTGGGTGACAGGAGCGCGTTCAAAACTTCCTGTGGGCCCAAAAGCGGAAAAAACATAATGAGTGAGTTAATTTGCAAGGCTCTGACGGCTATGGAATGTGACGGTTGCATGGTGATTGTTTCAAATCACTGTTCAGTTCAGTTCGCGAATTACAAATGGCATAACTTGTTAAAACGTATACAAGTGCCTCAACATTAATTTATTACTTGAAATATATCCTATTATTCAGTTAGATGCATTGTCACTCCGGCAAGAGTATGGCATATATCAGTTTTCTGTAGTTGCACAATCCAAACTAACAAACCTGATAAGTAGCCCACGGGAATTCTTCATCAGCATATGCTTGTTCTTTAATCAGTGTAAGGAGACTCATGAGGGCTCTCTCCGCGATGGCAAATTCTGAATGGAAAGCACACAAGCGGTTTGAGTATTGAAGGAAGCAACAAATATCAACAATTAGAATGGGCATTGTGAAACACAAATAGAGAAAAAAAAGCAAATCAGCCATGCTAAAAGTCCAGTATTATGAACCTCTTACATAAACTTTGAGCAATAGATCAACAAAAAGGCACAGCCATCAACAAAAAGCACCTTATATTGCATAGAGCTGAAGCAGAACGGGAGATTAAAGCTTTATAGCATATCAAATATATACATAGGACAAGACCATTTTCAAAGGAGCCATTTGTGTTTCCCACAACTTACTTTTATGGTGCAAATTTTCAATAAACTTTGAGATGATGTCAGTGTACCGTAACTGAATCCAATCTCTGTATTTGTCAACTGCATCCTTCAGATCATCTGTATAAAACAAAATTATCAACAAATGCTCTATTACTTTGGAAACATTAATTCTCTAATAGAGTGAAGAGTTCAATTATGGATTATTGACCAACCTTGTTAAATTATAAAAATTTCATGTACTATTTATAATTGAATAAAAAATTAAACAAAGTATATATACCATAGTGTCACAGAGAAGATCAGTGAGATCGAGATGAAAATTTTAATAATAAAAATAACAAAAGAAATCTAGTAAGGAACACAATTTTTTGAGAAACTTTATTAATATGAACAACTTTACCAGTATATATATGCATCAACTTTTTAAACCATATCAATTCAAATTTTATACAGAAGTTTGAGTTTAATTTCGGAACATTTAAGTGATTATTTTATGACAAAACTCTATAAAACTTGCCAGGCTTTTTTTCTATGGAAGCAGCAGTGTCCCCATCTCTGATAAAAGCTGTTGCTATTTCAGTCAAGGCATTGATGCACTCCAACATGCCTTTGCTGGAGCTCGACTGAAATGAAAAGATCACGAATTATTTCAATTGCCTGGCATTGAATTTTGTATTGCTGTGACTGGAAGCTGTTACAGCGCACAAGTAGAATATACAATTAAACTTTATGTTCCAATGCTTACACATGTTTACTTCACAATATCATCTTAGGATTGAATGTTTTGTAAACAAGATTGAATAAATCTCAGTTAATTCAAATTTTGTGATAAAAGCAAACCAAATTATCAACAAAGCTTTTGGGATCAAGATGTTAATAATTTGAAGGGCCTGTAAACAGCCAGCCCAACGATTGATACCCTGCAATAATTCAATGCCCAAGATATTCTTTTGGTTGACAGAATTATGGTAATAGCTAGCTTACAACATAAATTCTTCAAATGGCTTACAAATATTATTAATAAAAAAATTTTTGTACTACAGATATGAAAATCTGTTAAAATTACACAATTCTCCCATGCTAGCATACTAAAAAAAGGCCCCTTCCTTCATGCTCTTCCCTCTTCCTTCGTGGGGCTCCTTCGTTTTGTCCTCTGTGTCCTCTTTCTTGGTGCCACTTAATCTGTTTGCTCCCTACTGGTGACATGTTGAGGCATTAACTTCATGGTGAACCCATGAAGTTTGACTCGAACCCATGACACCCTCGACTGGATTTGCCCTGCCTAAAGCCAGGTTGCTTTGCTCTTGCTTGGCCTGACCACATCCTCAACCTTGACTCACCATTGTGCCAGCCACCTCCTCCCATGAAACTCTAGTTCAACTGTAATGGCATTTAACCCAGCGAAGTATATCTTTCTTCCTTCATCATCAAACACAAAGTCACGGTTGCCTATCTTAAAAATGCAAATGTGACAGCTAATTCCCGCATACCTGCCTTCATCAGACACACTGTTGTGCATTAGCATCCCCCCGGTCCCCTGCACACAATCATCCCAACAATCTCTTCACCAGTGACAACTCAATGGAGGCAATGGTGATAACCATTCCTTGTAATGGCTCCTCCATCTGCATCATCAACCTACAAATCATGCTCCTTGGTCTACCTTTTTGCCATCTTGGACATTGAATTATCAAAGGCACCTTCGATGAACATCACTTGAGAACTACCTACTGCAAGAGAGGTCTCCAACATTGGTATCCTCAACAAGGACTCTCTGATTTGCCTCCATGCCCTTGCTATCATCAGTGCACACCTTAATTATCAACTTCAACAAAGCCCACTGATAAGCCTTCACAAATAAGATTGAGGATGCACTTATGGCAATGTCTGCCCTCTTTGCATAGAGGTGAGGCATCTCTGAGAGGCATTGTGGCTGCTGCAGCAAAACATCACATCCCATTTGGATTCAGGAAAGACTTCTTTCCCTCCACCAACCCTCACTTCCAGCTGAGTGATGAGCAACGAGGTATGATTAGAGCACAGAATGCCTATGAATCTCCTAAATCGAGCAACAGACACACCTACCCATCCAAGCATTGAAAGCTTCTCAGTTCTCTGTTCACTCACTGGGAATCTCAATCAACCCCCACCTAGCCAGTTCAACAATACCCTTTCATCTCCCAACACAATATCCACACAGCATTTCACAAGCAGTTTACATCCGCAAGTAGGAAGTGACACATCACAGCATGACTTAAAACCATGTCACTCAACCTCTATCACTCTCAAACTGCTTCAGCGCAAAGCAATTGCCAGCCTTTACTGTGGCAGCAACCACTGACCACTCAAAGTTATTTGACAGTGTTAAAGACACTCTCCTCTCTACAATTGCAGAATCAAACCTCCACACCAAGTCACCAACCTAGTCTATTTGGCTACAAACATCACTCCAAAACTAAGTGCTCCAAGTTGGATCGCTGTTACCAAGTGACATTTATATCCAAATTAACATTTATTTAGCAAGTATTTCTTACATGAGAGATACTTTGAAGTTTTTTCAATGTTAACAGCATTGAAATCCATACAGAAACATAAATTTTTTTAAAATTTAGGCTCCTATGGACTTGAATCTGCACTTCATCTTCATCCACACCTTTTGCTTTCAAATTCAGTCCACCAAAAGAGGCAAGCTGCCGCAGCTGCTGGCCCAGCTTGCTGCCAACACAATGCTGGCCCACCCCTTTCATTCATTTGGTGCGTAGCTATCTTTTGTTTGGCCCAATTGGGCAGGTGCTAGAGTGTTGTGTGGCACCAGCGGTCCGTGAAGAAGCATCGCTTGGTTCAAATTCAAAATGTCATAAGACCACATTCTTTTATATTACCTATAGAACTGCTCTATGATAAAACTTGCACTTAAAGGAATCAGAATGAAAATTGAAACACTTAAAAGTTTGATTTAAATTAAACTAAATAATAAATAATAATTCCTTGACAAGTTGTCAGTGTCATCAGGGTAAGTTGAACAACAACAAATTAACCTTCATGAAGTAAAAAAATTATGCCCTAAATAAAAGTTTCTTTGAATTTGTTGAATTTAAAAGAGGCTTTGTTGAATTTTTTCAATGGCTTTTTTCATTTAAGGTGGCATTTGAATTTAAGGTGGGATTTGAAAAATTGAATTTAAGGTGGCATTTTTGTGTAATTTAAAGATGGCTTGACTGGCTTATGCCTCATTTTTCACAAATATAAAAATGAATAGAAAGTGGCAAAGTGCAAGTGTGAATTTTGTGAAACAATGCCAATATTTTGATTTTAACTTTTCTAAACTACATTTTATAGTCTGGTGAGATGTGATAATTTTCAAGAGAATATTTCAACTTACACCATTTTTTCCTACTTAGTTGTACAAGAAATGAAGAAAATAATGAAGAATGAGGCTATAGGGTAAACGCGGTATATTCTGACACATTAAGGAGTAAGGACGCATCGAAAAATGAAAAACTATAAAAAAATAACCGTATGCGTTACTCGAGTTCTGTTTGCTTTATGTGACTCGCAAAACACTGTACTACGCGCCAGCAACGATGAAACCAGGGTTGGCGATTTTTTTTTTTTTTCATGATTTTTTTTATTTATTTGATTTTTTTGATTTTTTCAACTTTTTTGTCTTTTTGAAGTGTTATTTTTTATGTTGCAATTAGCCTACTAACAATAACAGTATATGGATCATAATGGATGGCTAAAAAAGGCACTTATTGCCTTCAATAATGGCCAACAGGCCAAGGTAGTGTTTACCACTTAGGGATTTTTGGGTAAACAATTATTGAGAAGTCTATTCATTAGCTTTGTAAAGTTTGTATGGAGCAAGGTAATGAGCTAAATATTGACCATTTAACTGGCTTCAATATACAAAAACACTTCAGGAATGCAGATCTTCTAGACATTGAAGAGTCACATAACAGATAGGTGTCCGGGGTCTATTTCTGCGACCCCTGATAGATTACGGTAGTAACTGAGAGTCAGGACTCTAGTAGTTCCAAGTATGACTATGGCAGGATCAGTGAAACGAACGGTTAACACTAGATCTATTATTATTATAATAAAGTGGCTCGGTGAGTACAGAAGTAAGGGGATTGACAGACACAGCACAAGTACGTGCTGGAGGAGCGGCTAGCAAGGTGACGGCTAGGCAGTTCTGCTACAACTGACAAGCGGTGCACAGATCGAGCTATATATAGGCCTTAACAGGGATGACGTCACTGAGTGTGACTCTACCATGTGGGTACAGAACATGTTATAAGAGGGTGACGTATGATAACCTAGAGGGTGATAGAAGATACCCTGACAATAGGTAGCTGATAGCACAGTGCACAGCACTATCAATAGATCTACTAGTTTTATGTCCTCTAAATCTACCAGACTCTCCCCTCTATACACACCTACTAGTAGTGACTGAGTGACTGACTGCACTGT